ACTATGCTGTATCTTTTTTATCGGAACGTGTGGGCACGGTACTTTATTTTTCCATTTCGCCATTGTATCGCTTGGGGGGGGGGCGGGTTGCAAGCGGGACAGTGCAGCCCGTGTGTGATAGTTTTGTGGCTGATGTAGGAGGAACCGCTGAGGAAGCAATAAAAAATTATGTAAATCCGTGCACTGCTGCAGTCTCCTAGCGTTTTCGAGGGTTTTTGGCCGGAGCAGGTACCGCCAGTCCGCGCCTCATACTGAGTGGCTCGCGGTGCGGAGTGTTTCCAGTTTCCAGCAAATATTCCGTAGAACAGCTGTGGTGCCCTCTTCATTTTTTGTTGTCGCGTGGAAGAACCAGTCCGAAGGAGAGAGAATACACGAGCTGCATTTTTGTCCCCAAACCGACGCTGTCGTAGAGTGGAAGGGGACGGCCGTCCAAACAATTATGTCCCCGAGGAAATCTCGCGCATGACCGATGGGAAACCCTTTGCCGCACAGCGAGTTACTTTTTCTTCCAAGTGCATGTGTTGTCGACTGCTGGGTTGTAGGCGTTGCGTTTCTCTGTCGTTCCCGTTGCACCTCTTTGCTACGTATTGTACGGTAGTTCAAGCGAACAGATCGACATGGTTATGCAGTGTATGAGACTAGCCGCAAAAGCACCGCAATTGTGTGCCCTTGTTATTGAGTGCAATCGATAGTCGAGGGACCGGCGGCTTCAGTGAAAAGCAACTCACACGCTTGTACTTGGTTGTCGTACTTGCAAGCAAGCGCAGTTTACATTGGCCTTCGGCATAACGCCTCACCCGGTAATGTTCTCTTCACGAAACCTCAACAGCAAAGGCGTTGCCCGTGGCTTCCCGCTACAACGACTGGCGCAGTTGCGCTAGTCACCCGGTTAGCGTGGTCGACGCCAAGAAGAAAACGCGCACACCCGCACAAGCGGCTTGCTAGGTTCGGGCGAGGGCATGTGGGGAGCTGTGACTACTGCGATGTGTGTCGGAAGATTCCTTTTGGCATTCGCATTCAGCG